TTTTCCTGACCTCTGATCATGCACGTGCCTCTTCTCTGGACTCTCTCAAGCTTCTCCACATCCTTTTTGACTTGTGGAGCCCAAAACTGGATGCAGTACTCCAGCTGCGACCTCACCAAGGCGAGTACAAGGGGAGAATGATGTCCTGGGATTTGCTTGAGAAGCATCTATGGATACAAGCCACCATTTGGTCGCTTTACTAGCCGCAGCATCACATTGAAGGCTTATATTCATTTTGTGGTCAATGATGACCCCCAAGTCTCTTTCTTCCATAGTGCTAGCCAGTGTAGCCTGTAAGCATGCTTCAGGTTTTTCGTACCAAAGTGGAAAACCCCGCATTTTTCAGTGTTAAACACCATCAGGTTCTCGTCCACCCATTTGCTGAGCCTGTCCAGGTCAGCCTGCATCACCCGCCTGTCTTCTGGTGTGGATGCTTTGCTCAAATGGTAGAGGGGCCAATGAAGGGAGAAAGCTCTTTTTGACTTACTGCTCACACACGGAGGAATTGGTTGAAAGCGTGAAGGGGCAAGGTAGCTTGGGCCATAATGGGCACAGCTACATGAGATGCTAAACTTCTCATTAGCATACTTTAGAGTGAAGTAAGCATGTGCGTCTACATGCATGCATGCTTACTTTGCAGTAAACCCTCCTAATCCCGAGTAAATTTGCTACTTGCAAATTTTCTACTTGCAAATCCTACTTGCAGATTTGCTCGGGATTAGTATTGGCACCGTAGCACTCATGTAGACGCCTGACCAGGCGCAAAAACTGCTTCCAGTCAGCCATCCACTAGAGAGCAGGAGATAGCTCCCAGCCCCCGGAAGCTGCCTGCTGTTGGGGTGGGCTCTGCCACAGGAGCTCAGGCAGGGATTCTATCCCCCTGCTCCCAGATTGCACTCAGGGAGCTTATCTCCCAGGCCCCACTCTGCCATTGCGACCTGGGAGCAGGGAGCTGGGAGAACAATCTCCCAGCCCGCCTCCATGACTGTAGAGCTCAGGCTGGGAGATGAGGGTCTTTCAGCAGTGGCACTGCAGTCAGGGATCTGGCGCTGGGTGCTCCCCGCTAGCGGGGGCTAGGGAGTATTTCCTGCTCAGCATCGCAAACACGGAGCTGGGGGGAGAACAAGCTCCCCAGCCTGTTCCCCCACCAGCTCTGTGCGCACAGAGCTAGGCAGGGAACAAGTTCCCCAGCCCCTGCTTTGCGTGGCTGGGTGGGGACAATGTCCCTCTGCCCTGGCAGCAGAGAGGTCCCAGCCCCCACTCCCCAAGCGTGGCTCAGGGGCTGGGGACAGGATGGGAGCAGGGCCTTGTGGGATCTATTGTGAAGCACCTAAAGGAGAGCTAGGTGTTCAGGAGTAACCAGCATGGATTCATCTTCATGCTTTACCAACCTGATTTCTTTCTATGATAAGGTGACAGGCTCTGTGGATGAGGGGGGAACAGTGAATAATGATATTTCTCGACTTGAGCAAGGCTTTTGACACTGTCTTCCATGACATTCTCATTAACAAACTAAGAAAATACAAACTAGATGAAAGTACTGTAAGGTGGATAGATAACTGATTGGATTATCATACTCAGTGAGTAATGAGTCTAGTTGGGAGGAAGTATCAAATCGGGTTCCCCAGGGATTTGCCCTGGGTCTGTTATTGTTTAATATCTTTATTTGGATAACGGGATCAAGTACACACTTAACAACTTTATGCATGACACCAATTTGGATGGACACCATCTTGCAGATACTCCAGCCGGTAGGGCTAGGATCTCCAGAATAACTTGGATAGACTGGAGAAATGGTCTACAATAAATTGAATCAGATTCAACAAGGACAGTTATAAAGTCCTACACTTGGGACAGAATAACCGCATACACAAATACAGAGTGGAGAATGACTGGCTAGGGTGTAATTTCAGTATTGCAGAGAAGGACCTGGGGGTTATGGTGGCCCACATGGTAGAGCTGACAGTATGCTATTGTTGCAGAAAAAACAAAAACAAAAAACCCATCAGCATCCTGGGTTGTCTTGACAGGCATGCCTCTTGCAAATCAAGGGAAGTGATTCTTCTGCTCTATTCAGCACTGGTGAAGTCTCACCTGGAGAGCTGCGTCCAGTTTTGGGCCCCACACTTCAAGAAGGACATGGACACAAATGATCAGAGCCCTGGGGAGCTTAATTTATGAAGAAAGACCTAGGGTTATTTAGTTTGGAGAAGAGAAATGTGAGGGTAGGGTCTCATAAGAGTCTTCAAATACCTGAAGAGTGATTACAGAGGGGATGGAGATGGGTTTTCTTTGTGGCCTTACAGGATACAACTGGGAGCAGCGGCCCCAGGCTTCAGCAGGCGAAATTCAGGTTGGAAATTAGGAGTAACTTTCTGACTATGAGAGTGCTCAGGCATTGAAACAGGCTACCCAGAGCAGTTGTGAAATCTCCATCCTTAGAAGCTTTCAAAAGCAGGTTAGACAGACATGTGGCTGGGATGGTTTAGTCCTGTCTTGAGCAGGGGGCTGGACTTGATGACTTTGTGAGCTCCCTTCCAGCCTTACTTTCCCATGATCCTAAGTATTGCACAAATAGTGGAGTAAGTGTTAAGATATCTGGCTGTGCTAAATAAAATGTTTGTTAATATAATAGCCTACACAGGTGTTTGTACTTAGTCTGACACCATAGATAAGTCAGAAATTGCAGACATCTACACGTACTGCATTCACTATTCACTGTCAGGAAATATTTGCTACCTGTATCTGAATTGAGGGGGTAGGAATTGTTTCACCTCAAACTGAGAATTATCCATCAATATTTGAAATGTAGAGTAGTGGCAGGAGTGGGAAGCTTAAATTTGGATGAAAACTGGAACTGCTCTAAGAAAATCTTACCTAGGCAGTCTGTATAGAGTAATCTTTAGTGTTTCTGGTGGTTATTTTTAGCAAATCAAAAGCTCTGCCTATTTAATAATAAATTATGAGACCTCTATTATGGTTCTGTCAGACCTGAAACTATCGTGCATTGGATATTGATTTTTTTCCTTTGCAAAACAGCATAGCAGACAACTAAGAGGTTCCTAGGTAGTTCAAAGGATTTTTAATGTGAGGTATAACCTCTCCTGTAATGCATATTGGTGGTGGTTTATTTTTATTCATTTATATGATAGGTATATCTACATGGCAAAGCTGTGAGGATGTAGGCTGCGCTGGGTACCAGAAGTGCTATCACTGTATTAATACTGTGCTTTGCCCAGGCTAAGTAGCACAGCCGAGAAGCAGCATATGCTAGCCTGGCAATGCAGCTTTCTAAGGGGGCTGTCTTGCCTCCAGTACCTCTGCATGGCACTGATAAACCCTTAAGTTGATTATCACTTAACACCCTCTGAGTTCCTCAGAGGTGTTACAGGTAGTAGATTAGTGGTGGCTCTGAAGAATGCACTTTGCAAAATTTGTATAATAGTTTACTGGAGATAAAGGAAAGGCCTTATCTGTGTTTTTGATATGTGTTAGTATTGCAGTAGTTACAAAGTACAGTCATGCCTACAGCTCTCAACTAAGCTGGAAATCCATTCTGTTAGGTATTAGAGAAATTTACACCCAAAGGTCTTAACATTTAAGTAAAAGTAATAAAGGATATGATGGAGAAACACAGGCTAGTACCCTCCCACTAGGCAGTGCTGTATTTCCCTAATAATCGAGAGTAATTCAATTGCTGCAACTGCAGAAGTGTTCTGGGAGAGCAGGTTTCTCTCTTTGAGAACCACATTACAACAATTAGTCTATTTTAGGTTAAAAAAGCACAATAGAAATCACCTGGCGGCTTTTTGTGGACCAGGTGAACGATGGAAAATGTATTTTGCTCAACCCACTGCTGCTTAAAAGTACACACTGCACCTGCCTAATTTCAGCTACACAGTCTCCAGAATTACAGTCTCCAGGTATAGCTCCAAGCAGGGCACACTATAGTCATTTAACTTCAAAGTGACAAAGGCTTGGATAGACGGACCTGAATTTCAGAACTTTTCCCTGTGCCTCCAGCTGAAAGCAGTGGAGCTGCATCTTACTTGTTCGAAATACCAGACAGGCCTCCAGGGTCCTGCTGTGCCCCTTCCACCTGAACAGCCGATTCTCGGCCTCCAGGGCTGCGAACAAAACAACAATTCAGCTCCCCTGCCTTGTGCGTTGCAATCCTAGCTTTTGACAGGTGATTTTTATTGCAGTAACAGTTAGCAGTCTCCTCCCCTGCTCCCTCCTTTCCCTGCAACAGCTGAACTTTCCAAGCTTTACTTTTCTTCTAGTAAGACTATATGCTGAGCTCTTTCTTTCTTTGTTCATATGCTATTGAGGCAGGGCAGGCTATATGGAGCAAGCTGAAGAGCAGGTAGCTCACCTCCTGTCAAGCGACCTAATGAGGAATCACAAAAAGAGAAGCTCAGCCATGATTTTCCCTAGTCTACAGCCCCCTTACTTTGCCACACAAAAGAGTTTAAAGTTTAGTTGGCTTGTTAGGGACTATGCTCAGCCTCCTTAAGTGTACATTCATGCTCAAGACTTCTTCAGCAGGTGTTTGCTCTGTAGGCTGAGCCTTTTCGTACATCACAAAGCAGACCACTGCAGTACTCTGCAAGGGTAAGGAAGGGAATTCCAGCTACCAGCCACTGCACCTCTGAAAGCAGAGCTCCTAGGTTCCTTACTAGTGACTGGAGTGGGAAAACGAGTCCCTTACCAAGGAATGTAACATTTACAGCAAGAAAGAGCTGCAGCAGAAACAGTGCACCTTCCAGCATAAATGTCTCACCTGTAATAAAGGTCGCTCCTAGAGTATAACCAGACTTCTTTTCCATTAAACCACTGTGTTGATCATTGAAATGTTTGCCAAACCCTCTCTGCTGAAGATACATAATGGGGGCAAACTGGTGGGTAATGGTTAGTTATAAACTACCTGCTATAACCATGTCTTTTAACCAGTAGTTGGTGTTTAGTCATTAAGTCTCATCTTTTTTATTCCATTTCAGAGTTCGTTTAGTAGAAAGAGGATCGCCTCATAGTTTGCCCTTAATGGAATCAGGAAAAGTAAGTATTGTGAGAGGAACTGAACCCATCATCTACATTAATTCTTTTAAAAAATTGGTTTGGGAGGTGTTTATATTAAATATCCTGACACTCAAGCTCTGGTCCAGTGGTTCTCAACCTTTTTAGATTCAAGGCACCCCTCCTTGACTTTTCAAAATACAGCGGCATCCCATTTAAAAATGATATTATGAATTTATTATTAGTTCATTAGGTTGTTTTAATTAAATTCACCCCATTTCCACAGACAGATAGAACTGTACTGCATGGCTCCTGCAGAGCCAGAGCCAGAGCCAGAGCCAGAGCCAGAGCCAGAAGCAGATCTGGCCAAAGCACATGCTCTTGCCACAGGCCTTCCTGGTCTGACCCTGCACCTCCTGGAAGCAGAGGCCGGCAAGGCAGGTGGAACTGTTCCATGCGCCTCTGTCTGGAGGAGGCATGTCAGAGCTGCAGCAGAAGTGTATGGAGACAGCCAGGGTCTTTTCTGCTCCCAGATCAGCTCTGACAGCCTCCTAGAAATAGCGATGTGAAGCAGTGTCACCTCATCGGGGTGGCGGTCTGGAGATCGAAGCCACCGCCAGAAGGTAGAACTGCCCTGCACCTCTGTGTCCAAGAGGCATGTTGGAGCCGAACCATGAAGAGCTGCAGAAGAAACAGTGCACCTTCCAGTATAATGTAATGAGGTGCCTTTCTGCTGCAGCCGCTTCTCGGTTTGTCTCCAATGTGCCTCCTCGAAACAGGCCATTTGATCCCCCGGTGAGAGTGGCACCAGCAGCGTGGCACCCCAGTGCAGAATCCCTGGTTCTCATCTCCAGTTCTCAGGGCACTGTAGGTGAGAACCACTGCTCCAGACCCTCACTGCAGGACAGCAATTTAATTAGGCACCGAGGATCCTTATGTTCCCAGGGGAATTTCTTTTTTTAATGTATGACTATCAAGTGTAAAATGTATAACGTGTCCTGGAAGCTGGGACCTGAACCTAACCTCCTCCTTAGCACGGGAGGGCTACAACCAGTGGGCTGAGGCAGACTTCCCTTTGTTTATTCTCCTTCTGGCCCCTGGACTTGCGTTCTCGGCTGCCCAGTGACCCAATGTCAACAAGAGCTGAACTTCCCTACTCACTTCTATAGCTTCCTGATTAGGATAGTGCTATAGGAGGCGGGATGTGTGAGTTTGAGTGAGGGCCTAGAACCACACATTCCCTCTCCTGGGTGAGTGCTCAAGCCACTAGTCTGTTGGACAAAGGTGGCCATGCTGAATTTGAACTGAATTCAGCAAGGGTGATGCAAGTGAGGTGTCCTTAAAGCATGTATACTATGCCAAGTTCCTCCAGCACCAAACTGAATCACAGTGGAGCTGAGTTAGGGGGAAAGCAATTAGGTGATCAAACTTAATTATTTCTTGGTATGCTCAAAAGCTCAAGTCTAGATGCACTGGGAACGTGGTAGTTCCAAGTGGAGGTGATGCCTGAACTTGAGGACTGTAGTAATAAAAAATTGTTGTTTAATTCTTCTTATTCATGCCTGGCTCTCTTTAGTGAACCCAGTGATCGCTGCTGGGACCTACTGAATTTGGTGGCTTGTGGAAGAAAGCCTAACCCTTTGAAACTTAAATTCTGTCTACATTTCATTTAGGTGTCTCCAGACCAAAGTGGATTGAGCCTTGGATGCCTATAAAACAACGAGCAATAGCAAAACCCTTACTAGATTTTATGAGGCATTTGCTGCTTTTTTTCTTTTTCTTTTCAAAGTGAAATCTCTTTTGGGGCTAGAGGGTTTGGTACTTATTTTTCTATAATGTATTATTCCATTTTCTTGTTGGAAAACTTTTGCAGTGGAAATGAATTTCTATGCTTTGAGTATATTTCATATGGTAGGAAGACTTTTTTAAAAAAAAAGGTAGTTTTCCAGTGCTTCATAAAAATAGCCGTATTGGATCACCTGAGCTCATGGAAGTTTATTCCATAGCTGAATTCTCTCAACTGATAGAGAAGATAAGGGATTTTTCTCAAAAATTGTACTGATAATAATCTGTAACAGACTCTAATTAGATAATTTATCACAAGTGGCTATTTTCATTTGTTAAGTAAGATAGTTACTTAATTTTTTTAAGATTTCTCAGAGTCATCCAACAGGCTCTGGGGACAAATATCATTATATGGTTGCATAAACAGATATATGCTTCATCTGTTTTTCATGGTATATGACTCATTTTTGCCTTCCAATAGATCCTCCCTGGAGTTCGTATCATTATTGCTAATCCAGAAACAAAGGGACCCTTAGGAGACTCTCATCTTGGTGAGGTGAGTCATCATAATTGTTCCTTAGTCTGTTCTGCATTACATTATAAAAATAAAAACCTTTTCCCTCTATATTTGTATCTTCCTAAAATAAATAAAAAAAATTCCAGGTTAAGGACATTTTATACAGCAAGCAACTTCCTATGGTATGAAATTACCCCACAAAACTTCTATCACTATTAAGAACCTTCTCTTGTCACGCTTGAAAATTAGAAGAGTACACCTGCTGTTCCTCTTCACATTTTCTATTTTTTAATTATCTCATTACTTCTGATAAAACCTTACATGAAAAGTGTTTCTTTATTGAATAGTATTACTGCAGCAACATATTATACTTATGATTGCTATGCTCTGCTGGACCAAAATATTCTCATAAATCTCATTTAGCTGGATGTTTCCTGCTTATTTTATGTTGATGGAATAGTAAAATTGAACATCAAATGTTTTATTGTCACTGGGCAAATAAAGATTTCATTAAACAACATGAAGAATTTTTTTGGTCCTGGTTAAAATGATAGTGTGCCTCTTGGCAGCATTGACATGATGGTGCAGCTAGGATGGTCCAGGTAATATGCCAGAAGCAAAGATTTTTGTGGGTGGTATCTTTTACTGGATCAGCTGTATGGTTGGGATGGACTTAAACAGGCTTTCAAATGCAGTGCATGTCACCTGAAGAAAAAAGCACTGCATTTAAAAACTTTAAGCTAAGTCTGTCTCAACCACGAAGCTGGTCAAGAAAAGTGTACCTTCTGAGATTTATAATCCTTCAGAGTTCACCAAATGTCCATGCTCTTTGCTAGTGGTGGAGCTCAGCATATTTTATTAAAGGTATTGTCAAAGTCCCCTTCATATTTATTTTTCTACTGAAGTTAATTTGCGTGGGTTAGCGTTTCTTACACTACCTCCTGCAATAGCTGCAAGGCTAACTTTTAAAGTTTTGAAAAAGAAAATTGCCTTGTAAATAATAAGAAGTATTGGTTGATTTAGGGACAAAGTCCTCCAATCTCACTTACCCTTAAAGTCCCCGTACATCTTCCAGCCCTTTTACTTGGCATAAGCATTCTTTAAAAGTCTTCAAATAAGTTGGGGACAAATTTCTCCAGCACAGATGCTACAGAAAACATCATAAGACTAATGTCAGAGGACACCCTCTCATCACAAGGCGTGACACAGGATATAAAGAACTTGCAGAGAAAGAGAGGGCACATCAAGGGCAAACCTGTAGAGCTGTGAAAATGTTGGATAGGACAGTTACCTCCAGGGGAATCCCAGAAGACTGAAATAACTTAGTCAAGTCTGCAGAACTGGCTTACTTATGCAAGATGCTTCGCAAGCCACAAAGCAGCTGAAGTCCAGGAGACTGCTGCAAAGATTAGGCAGGCCCTACCTCTGGACTGTCATTTCTGTGCTGCACCTTCAAGAGGCACAGTGTGGGACCTCACCCTTGGACTTCAGTGAGACTGTGCACAGATGTGGGATTTGGCCCCAAATAAGCATGAAATGGGATATGTGTATCAGAAATCAGCTTGTTAAAGGGCAGTATAGAAATACTTAATTCTTTCTAATTGTGACTAGAATATAAGCAGCAAAAGTTGTCAGTAATGCTCCTCCTTGGATAGGTACTTTAGTGACAGTATAATTACTTTTCATGTAGATATGGGTTCACAGTGCCCATAATGCCAGTGGGTATTTTACCATATATGGAGATGAATCCCTGCAGTCGGATCACTTCAATTCGAGACTCAGTTTTGGCGACACACAAACTGTTTGGGCTCGGACTGGCTATTTGGGGTTTCTGAGAAGAACAGAACTGACTGATGCAAATGGAGGTAAAAATACTATTTCCTTTCCTAAATTGTCTTTGTACATAGCTATAAAAAAAACATTATACTGTATAAGCTTTTCAGACATGACCTGCTGTGTGTAATGGCTCTTAACATCAAATATCCCCATTCTGTGAGGACTAAAACTCTCTGAAGGACCATTTTCAAAATGGATAATAAGAAACAAGAGGGTGAATCAAGAAGCCTGCCAATCATGGCAGCTAGGTTATATTCCTTTTGTTACATCCCCGCTCTCCTATGCTGTTGACATAGGCTATGAGAGGAAGGGACCTCTTGACATGCCTCAAGTGCTTTCATTTGAAAGGTCCAAAATATTCTTATAAAAACCATTTACCAGAGTTGTTGTAGGACTGCATGAAGGAGACACCTTCATTTATTACTCCTACTGTTACAGCAGAGTTATTCTGAAGAAGTTACTAGTATCATTTTCTTCTTGTTTTGGAGCCAGTTTGTTAATAATTCAGGGGCAACTCCTTAAAACATAATGTAAGCTATAACTACAAAAGGAGACACCTTGCTGGGGTTATTTGACCCCAGCGGTCCTTCCTGCCCAAAGCAGGGAGGCTGGACACGATGATTTCATAAGGTCCCTTCCAGCCCTAAACTTCTGTGAATCTGTGAAATAAAGGTACAAGATACCATTATTTTGTTTTCTGTCAGGGAAGCACTAGGTCTTGCTAAATGCTAGTGACATTCCCTGTCTGGCCTGTATGTATAAGCAAACAAATACTATGGGGCATAAACATTCATGAGGCTGAAATAATCCAAATTATTATGACTGTTGCAAAATTGGGAATCTGAGAAGAGGCTGGCTGAGATGGTAGATGAGTTTGCCAGCATCATGCCCAGTGGATCAGCAGTGTTTGCAGTGCCACCATGAGAACCAAGGTAATCTTCTTGAATAGGACCTATTGAGTCAAGCCGAATTTGATAGGAGTCTGAAAGCATGTTAATAATTACTAGGCATTAAGCATATTGTCCACTTTCTTATAATACGATCTCCCAAAGTCATTTAATCTTGTGAAACAATTTTGTAGGATTTTCTCATTTTAGATTTTTTTTTTTTTTTTTAAGCAAGGAAAATGTCATTAAGAAATAGTCCCAGGAGAAGCAGGAGACATTATTCCACAAGGATAGTAATTGCACTTTTTAGTCATAATTTGCAAATGGAATACATCTCCCCATGAAGAAGCCATCACTAAATCTCCCCTCTCCTCCATTTCTCAGCTCCTTTTCGGAGAGACTAGTCTCCATTTCACACAGCACCTGGGAGATTCTGGCTGATGCAGTTGTGCTTTATTGCCACAATACGACATTTCTCCATTTAAATCTCTGAATTAATGTAAATCACCATTTATCTGAACTTCAGTTTATTAAATGATATATATCCTCCATGAATAAAATGGAGTAGCTTTATTATAAGCCTAAAATCCCCAAAGAAATCTCCTTCCCCTCCCCACAATTGAAAAGAATTGTTCTACAAAAGGATTGCTTGTCGATGGCTATGGCTTGTCTTAATCAGTGATTAGGTATCAGGAGCAGACTTGCAACATATGCATCATGGTTAAATACTTGGTGCTTTCAGCATCACAGTAAAATACTTAAAGCTGCTGTAAGGGCACGTTCAAATCCAGAAGGGCCAGTTTCACGCTTTATCCTTCTGATGAAAATAAATAGAATAAACCTGACTGTGAAACCCAAAAAACAAGTTTCTGTCTGCTCCTCAGGAACACTTCATAAAATAGGATGTCTTTGGACTAAACCCACCCCTCCCTC